TCGTTGTTCTCCTACTGGCCCAGTCCCCTGTGATTTACTATATCTGCGTCATCTAGCTCCAAGCTCTCCGTGTCGTTCACTCCATCTACACAATTGGCTCCATGCTCTTAGCTCTTGCTCTAGGTGCTATCGTTTAGCATAACGGAGTCCGAACAAGACTGACGTTCAGGTCATCGTCAAAGGGAACCGAACCATGGCCCGAACTCGCGCTCGTCGTCCAGGTCCACCGGGATTAGGTCTCGGAGCCACACCGAACGATGGGATGGACGGATTCATGAATTCTCTAGCTGGAACACCCATGTATATGGCCCCTGAAGTTATCAAGAATGAAAAGAGCGGTAGATTGGGAGCTATGGATATCTGGAGTATGGGTTGTGTCTTGTTGGAGATTGTGACGGGTAGGAAACCTTGGAGTAATTTGGATAATGAGTGGTGGGTTGTTTTTCGCTTCTTGTCATCTTCAAATGTTACACCACTCGTACTCCTGTTTGAATCAATACCTGTCTCTCGAGCGTATAATCTTGTCTCTCCAGATGTCATATACCGTATTCGCGAGTCGCTTGCTCTGGAACATAACATCGATTCACCCTTGATTATCTCCCATGTAAACTTCGATCTCTCTGTTCGTTGATCTGTGTCGTTGATCGTGTTGTGGTTCAGCCAGAGGGAACTTCTCGAGAAAGTCACAAATGTATACTAACTCCCAGGGCAATCATGTTCCATATCGGTATCGCCACTCAACATCCACCTCTCCCCGATCCAAAAGAAATGTCACAATTAGGAATCGATTTCATCGAACAATGTGTAACTCTTGATCCTGCTGAAAGACCCACAGCTACAGAGTTGTTATTCCATCCTTGGTTAGCTTCGATGGTTCAGGCTATGGTGAGTTATCATGTTGTACTGTTTTTTTTTGTTCTGTTTCTCTCTTCGTCTACACCATGGATATCCTCTCCTTACTGACTTCCCACTCTATGTCTTCCTTCTTCTCCTTCCTCTTCTCTTTCCCCCCTTTCTCTCTATCCTCTTCCTGCTACCCTCTCCATGCCCTTGTCCGTCTAATAACGCCATGTGGGGGATGATTTGGACATGGCTTAGGCAGCCTGACTGATGATCAGACCGACCACGCAGGCTTCCAAGAAAATCCCACTTCCCCTACTTCCCACTCTGCATCTTCCACATTGGTAGAAACGGATCATTCGACCACTTACGCCGCTCATGTAGCTGAGATGGTCAAGGCGGAACAAGAACGACTGACAGCGAGTGACGGTACGAATTTCCGCAGCTGCCACACCTGCCGAGGTTGATCCGCCTGAAATGTTAGAGTGATCTACTTGGTGAAAACGTTTGCCATTCGACGAAGGAGATGTGAAAGATGTGTGTAAGGTGAGGAGGAGATGGAGGTGTGCAATATACACATTATAGGTTATGCTACAACAATGGGATGTATGGCGTCGATATATTCTTTATTGCGTGAGGGTTGGTAATTGGGTTTACTGTATGTATGTCATTCATGTTGCACTCGTATCTATTTCCTCACAAGATGAAATCCCAGTGGCAGTTGTTACTCTATGTGTTCTAGCATTGTGTTACTTTCACAACTGCAGTAAAGTAGGAAACCCAGTCATTAGTCTTTCAGGCCCCACCCGAGGTAGAGGTCCCGTGAAAAAAGGTCGGGTATGCTCTCTCTCTCTCTCTTGTTGAATGTGTGTTGGTCATTATATCTCTACCGATTCCAGTCCAAACCCATATGTTAGTCGATGTACATGTAGTTATATTCCAAAATAAGTTTCTAAATCCCATAACGATTCTCCCATTCCTATCGTCCATCTCACTCGTCCACCCTTCGCCAACTGCCGTTCATCTAACATGTCCATCATGTCCATGTCCATCTCAAACGTCCCTTCGAACCCTTTATCCGAACTTGATCGTCCCATATCCCTCCTTTCGTAATCCAAATCATCTTTCTCTTTTCTTATGTGAAATTCATCCCTGATGTCAATTTCCTTGGCTGAGTTAGATGAATCTTGATTCATCATCCCTCCACCAAGTGAAAGTCGATCAGGAGTAGAAGTCAGATGGGGAGATGACCAGTAGATAATCTTCCGAGTTGGACGTATCTTCCGATCGAATAATATACTCCCAATGATCACCACCAGAATCAATAGGAGAATAACTAAGTTTCCAATGACTAACCTTACAGCGAGAGGGAGATTTTCACAAGCTGTGGAATTATGGATAGTGGGGAAATTCGGAATGGTTTTGATCGTTGAATAGGTTGGAGAGGATGGAGAACAGTTAGGTAATTGGGTGGAAATTAAGAGTAAAAGTAAAGCCACTGGACGTTAGTCAAAACATTTGAAAGATCTACCTTTTGGATGAGGTTTATTTTTGGGGGATGGGTGAGTTGAAGAGATTGAGATGGTGGGGATTGAAGTTGGGAATGATAAGGATTGAAGTTGGGAATGATGTGATTTGAGCAAAGGGAAGAAGAATATGCAGAGAAGGAGATGATTAGAGCGAATATTGTAGGCATTGTGGTGGGTGAAGGTGTATGTTCTGACTGGTAGGTGAAAAAGCGAGTGTGCATCAAGGAGGAATGAGAGATGAGAGATGAGAGATGAGAGATGAGAGATGAGAGATGAGAAACGAAAGATGAGAGGGGAAGGAAGAATACGACTTACGAAACTGAGGAACTAGGAAAAGAGAAATGAGAACGAGATGTAATCCGACTTGTAACCAAGCTGAGTTACTACCTGTCAGCTATATCTCAAATCCTTCCTTGCAAACTGTCATCTTTGATCAATCCTGAGAGACTCGTTGTGTAGATTGAGTCCCAGGTCCTATGAAGACATGTTGATTCATCCATGACACAAGACACATCGTACTATGTGTGACACCACCAGATTCAGTGAGCAGGAATTTCTGGCCGCATCAAGGGGGATGAGAAGACTTCTAATATTCGAACCTTTTATCGAGCACAAAAAAGACATTTGTTATCATCTTGGTACACCTCGACCTTGATGGAATGATTACGAGGGAACATGGAATACAACTTACACAGGTCTACCCCTGACCAAACCCCACACTTCTAAAATCATCATCGGAGCAAGATAAACCAACTCCAATACCAAGCTAACAGCCCATAACAACCACAGAATCAACGGCATGATTAAGTTTTTCACTAATGTGTAAGGTAACCATACCGATATAAGTAGATGACAGAGGAGAAGGAGGAGATGTAAGATGGGTAAAGATGGGAATCTGATACGTTTCGTTGATCCATTCGTTGGGATTCGTCTCTGATAAATACGTCTTCTTCGCCGGATCATGGCATCTGGGGTGGGATGAGAAGAGGAAGGAGCAATAGTGGAAGTTTCTGACTTTGTAGGAAAATACGGGTAGCGAGGGGATACATCTTGAACGTCTCCGACCTTGTGGGTAGGGTTTTTTGTTGGATTATTGTGGGCGACGCCGGATTGATCAGATGACTGGTCAAGCCGAGTACGAGGATCAACTAGAGTTTCTTGACTATCCCATGGTTGGTTCATCTTGACACACAAGTTCCCTACCAGACGAGTAATGGAACAGTAAATTTTGAGAAGTCAGTACGAACAATAGCAAAGGTGTTTTTGGCTCCGCGAGGTCAGGTGGACGGGAAGTACGTCCACCCAGCTTGCTTCTGAAGAGAACACGAACACGACACTCCTGCCCTAGGTGGGAAACGATGTTTACTTCGGGGGTTGAGTGAGATGAGAGGATCGACAATTAGACTGGGGTTCAGGCCGAAAGGAGTGCGAGGAGAGAGTCTCTTGCGTAAAGGAGGGATTGAGGATTGGAGACAAAGGGCTCAAGGAGGGTTGACATGTGTTGGTGACGCTCGTGTGAGGGTGGGAGTTGACGGCAAGGGTATCGAAAACATGGAACGTGGGTACGTCAGTTGAACTCGTTTTAGAATTGGATACCCAAGTAAGAGAGATGACAGAGATAAACTTGGCGGGGTAATATCATTGATTGGTCGTGGGTCATCTTAGTCATTGTGAGGGAGGGACAGGCTTTGGTTTGATCAGGAACAGGTAGCAGGGTAAGTAGTTGTTTGGGTGATTCAAACGATATGGAATGGCAAAGACACACCAAAGCGACAAATCAGAACTCAGTACTGACCAAATGTACCCGATACATATGTGGCAAGAGTCTTATGCACAGTTGTCGTGAATGAGAGATCGTATACCCATCGTGATCATCGTAGGTGGTGGCAGTAATCGTACAGTTTGACATGACTAAAGTCAGTCAAGCATATCCTCCGTCGCCTGGCGAAGTTTTAATCATGACTCAATCACCGGACTCACACAAGAAATGACAGTCGTGAATCCTCAGTACATCTAGGCAGACCCTTGTGCTGCAGCCAGTGCTAATCTCGCTTCGGCAGCTTGGATCTTTGCTTCCAACTCGGCCAGTTGTTCTTGTAGTCCGGGCAATGCCGAGCGACTGTGGATCAGTGAGAAGTCTTACTTCACTTACAGCTCATGAGTCAGATCAGTCCAGCTCTGCGACATGAAAGTAGACATGACGATCATCGTACTTTGATGCTTAGACATGTCTTCGAAGGGGGAGGGAGGGGCGGAGTTAACACATGGACCTACCGCTTAGCGACATTCTTCTCCAACGCTTCCACAGCTTTATAACCCTCTCCATGACTCTCATCCGCCGAACTATTGGATACCAATTGCCAACTTTCCACACTCTCTCCAGAGGGATCTATCATATCCAAACTGCTCGAACTGGGAGAAGTGGTAGTTGAATGATAGCTTGACGGAGGACCTCGAGCTATGGATTTGGGTCTAGGTCTGGAAGCTATTCCCGTTGCTCTTAGACCGTTTCCAGAGGTAGATGAACCAGAGATGGATCGAGTTCCCGATGGAGGATCGTTCAATTGTGGTTGGTTTGAAGGGTGAGGTCGGTTGAAATTCCCAGAGATCGGATTGCCAATGTTAGTAAGATTGACTGGGGTGAAGGAAATGTTCGTATTTCTGGCATTTTGATCATGCTCGAGTGGTCTGTCGAACGACGCGCGGGGTACTTGGGGAGGGTAAGACACCTGTGTGGTTTGAGGAGTAGAGTTGGAAGTGGGTCGAACTGGAGTCCCTGACTGTCCGACATTGACAACGGCTTCAAGAAGAGAAGAAGCCGATAATCTCGCCTCGGGTAAAGCTACGTCTAATTGTATAGGTAGTATTGGTCTGGGAGTGGAAGAAGAGCGTCTATAGGAAATGGGAGAGGGTAAAGGTGAATCGAGATTGTCCATGTGTGATGATGGGATGAGATGGACGGGGAGGGGTGTGGGTTGTCCTTTGATGAGAGGTCGGATTATCTGTACTTGGGTTGTACTGATATATCGTGATGAGGAAGGTTGGGGTATTTGTGTGGATCGGGACGATGAGGGGAGGTATGTAGAGGAGGAGGAGGCAAAGGTCGGCTGAAGGTTAGCCGATGAGGTCCGATTGAGGTGGAACTGAATTGCTGTGTTGGAGAAGAGTTACAGTGGGTAATATAGTGGTGAAACAAGGAAAGTGATAGATCTGCATATTGAAAAGAGATGATAGAGTATCATGAAGGTGGCAAAGGGAGGGTGTTGGAAGGGAGGAGGGGGAAACCGTACCGTGTGTCTCCAGTCATAGCATTCTGTCTCACCTGAACGTGATGATCAAGTTGATCGACGTGATTGTCATATGTCATGTCCATGTTCATCATCGTCGCTGTGTGTAGTGCGGTGTGTTGTATGTGGTGTGTTGTATATGAGAAATAGATAAGAAAGAGAGAAAAGATAGAGAAGAGTTGGTTCAAGGTCCGAGCGGGTGAAAGTGGCAGCGATCCAAGCGTCACTCCTCCACCACACTAAATACAGTAGCTGGTAGCTATACTTGCTTCTACTTCTACTACTACTTACTTCTACTACTATCTCAACCTGACAAGTAGATTGAGCAATAGACAATAAGACAGATAGGAAGAATGATCAATCATCGACAGTGCTGGGTAGACGCAAGATACAATGCATACTCTCGACAGATCATCTATGTTTGATCCTAGACAGATATAACGGACATCTTCAATCACCCTCCTAGCACCCATTGGAGTACCCCCGACACGACTTTCAACAACCCAACGAAGATGACTGGGTTGAAATGAGATAAGATTTAAAAGGACAGTCGCAACATCCCTACGCCTCAGCAGAATCATTCCAGAAGTTCGTCCCGTGAGTGGTGGCTTTGATTATACCAGCTCGAATCACCCAATCACCGAAATGTTCACCGTCGTTTCTTTCCAGGGACCAACGTTTGATGAGGGGTTTGAGGGTGGATAGGATTTCAGGTTCGGTGATGGAGGATTTGAAGGGTTTGTTGAGGCGGTTTCCGGTTGGAGAGCCGCCTAGGAGCATCTGGGGGTTAGTGATGAGCTAAGGGTCTCCCCGCAGGGGAGTGACCC